GGAGCGTTAAAATAATAACATAATTCAAAACTGTGATTTAATTCAAGGCAAGCAATATGAAAACCATCATTTTTCCTACAAGATTCAGAATAGAAACCATTATCGCCGTTAGATACCAAATCTAGTGGACTATCCATTTTATTACAGGCATCGAAAAGTTTATTTATTTGGATCTACCGATAGATCTATATATCAAAAAATACCACTACTTGGGTCCGAATTATTAGTTGTCAGTTGGTATACACATTAGTAATGGAAATGAAAGTAAAAAAAAACTACTGAGCATTAAATTTAATGTAGTGTAATAGTTGTTAAAGCAATCGCCCACATACTCGTACTTTCTTTTATACACTACCATCAACCTAGTGGATGGCAAATAAAAAACTTTTACCTAAAAAAAGACACCATCACGAAATTTTCAAGTGGAGTAACGTAGTAGAACTCCTAAACAAGTCAAGAGCTTTGATGCAACAACAGAAACTCCCGTGACTTTCATCTTTCTACTAGGATGCAAGATTATAATTATGATCTCCGAAATCTCGATACCAGTATTGAAGCTACCCTACATTGCTCTTAGCTCCAAAGATGAGTTGCAAGAATATCCTAACTTTTAACCATTATATATTTTAAAATTTACTTTAAGCAAAAAATGCCTTGGGTAAAAAAAATGCTTGTTTCTTTTAGATACAAGATAAGACTTCATTATTAGTCTCTTTTTTGCTTTGCTGTGGACTTTTTTCTTTTCTAAGGATTACATGTTTAAGGCCGTATTTTTATTATCATTTAATTTTCGCATTTCTTTATTTCTTTTGGCGCTCAATCGCAAACGCCGACATTCAGACATTTAGTCATTGCACTCGATTTGTACAATCAATCATTCGAATTTACCGCAAACATGTGTTATGTCTACATATTTGAGTTTAGTCCGACAAACACACTCGCAAGCACACCCAAAATATGTGTGCACACACACACTAACATGGCTAAAATGCGCATTGTTAGCATTCATGTCATTGCTGGAGAGCTTATAGCCGATTTTTTCAACATAGTTTCGATATGATAGATCTATTGTTGTTGTTATTGATATTACTGTTGTGGCTGTTCTTGCTGTGTGCGATGTGCTTGGCATATATTGTACGAAAATTTCGCTCTGGCTTTATTTGCAGTATATCAAGCGCAGCACTGTGCGCTTGTTTGCCAAAAGTAGCCTTTTAGTATGGCTGTCCTGCTATTAGGTGAATATCAGACAAAAAGTTTGAAAAAAAGTTTGCCAGCCTTCGGCGTTTTGGCCATTTTCACCCAGTTCTGTCGGACTCTAACTTGATTTTGCTCTTGATTTTCCGCTCACCGAGGCGTACACCAAGTTCACATGTATTTAACATCATCGATTCCAATATACTTGCTGTTCTTGTTATTGTACTTACAACTACAGTTATTTGGGAATATAAAAAAAATTTTATAGTTTACATTTCGGCAGCACATTTCCGAATGTGTAAGTCCATGGTCCCCAGCGCTCATCTACTTGTCGGCATATTCCAACAAATACATATATGTGTGTTTAAGCGTAAATTTGGGTCATTTTGCTAGCGCAGAAACGATTGTCATGGGAACGATTTTAAATTGATCCCGTAGACTGCTCTGCAAGTCTACTTTTAGGCGCGCCAACTTGGCTAGTCAAACTTTCGACTGAACTTGCGGCACTTCAAATCTTGTATATAAATTTAAATGTCGCTTTTACCATATATTATTCGATTTTCATTTTTATTTCAAAATGTGTCACTCCAACATATATGTGCATGTGTGCGTAATTTTATTACATTTGATTTCTCTTACTTCTCCAAAAAGTTGCCTCGCATTCGCAGTGCCTCATAGCGCAAGACGCCCACACCCACTCACATACACAGCAATGTATATCATACACGTAGCCCCTAACACCTCGCACACAACCCTTTACTACTCCAAGCGCTGAGTGGCCTACTCGTTCGTAGGAGTGTTCTTGCAACGTTGACTTGAAGTCAGCAACTTCTTCAGCAGCATCTGCCGCCCTCTTCACTTGCAGTCACAACTCAATTCAGTACACTTCACGACGCGTAGCTTTCACATTTTTTGGCACTCAAGTCAACCTGCTAGATAGCGAGATAGCTAGATGGCTACATGGCTCGGAATGCGCCTAGAAGCGCGCTACATTACATTTGGCACTTTGTTCATTTTTATTCACTCCTTTCATGTTGCTCGTTGTTATTTCTACTTTTTGCCATTGTTTTTTGTTTTTGTTTTTGTTCATGTATTTGTTATTGTTGTGCTTGAAAATTGTATCTTGTATTTTAAAGGGCTTGTTGTTGCGGCAGTAGCAGCACTTAACACACATTTTCGCACTCAACATTCAACAACATTACGGCGGCTCAGCAGTCAGGCAGTCAACCAGTCGGTTTGTGAGTCTGTGAGGCAGTCAGTTGGTGCGTCACTGAGTCAGCTTTGTGTCTGTTGGTCCGTCTGTGGGGCGCTGTTTGCCCCATTGGTGGGTGCGTCCTCTTGTCGCTTGGTTGCCAGCTTCGATTGCCAGTGTGGCATAAAATTTTCCACGCACTTCATGGTCATACAGTTTTTAATATTCGTTTGTTCTCTGCAACTTTACAGCGTTGCAAGGTTTTTTTTATTTTGCACTTTTTCGATTTTGGTTTTTGGTCAGTTTTGGTTGGTTTCGGTTTTGTAAGTATTTAATTTCGACTCCAGTAGTTTACCGTTTTTGCATTTTAAATTTTCGTTTTTATTTTTGCGTTTTTTAACGACATGTTGTGGGATTACGCTTCACACTGCGCTGCATACGAGCGCACTGGGTCAATGCGTGTGGGATTTGTGCATTGTGTGCGTGCATTGCCACGCGTGTCACATTGCACAAAGTCAAAATATGAATATTCAGGCGAATGTACTTTGATTTTGGTTCGTTGAAGTGGCATTTTATTTCAAAAACATACTTTGCATTTTTACGTAAGAAGTTTTATGCGTTGAATTTGGTATTTGAAATTATATTGTAAGTGTGATTTTGAAATAGTTTGCTCTTTTAATTTTGTATTTTTCAAAATATTTTATATATTTATTTCAAACACTTTTTAAATTTTTACAGAATTTAATTTAAAAAGGGCTGACTCTAAGCCTTACTCGGATATATAATAGTACTTTTAAAATAAATTTGGAAACAAATTTATGTTTGAAAAATTTTTGTGAAAATTGTAATGGTTACTATATTTTAAGCTTCTTTAGCAGATAAAATAAATATATAATGAATATGGGAAACAAATTTTTATAAAGTAAAGAAACAAATTTTAGTATTATTTTATACAATGTTCAAATTATTTTAGAAAAATTGTGTTGGAAACATGCTATTATATAAGAAAGAAAATTCATAAATATATATCTTTATCTACTTTATATCGTAATTTAAATGGTCTGACTCTAAAGTAGTGTCGAAGTATCGAATCTAACATCGAGTCTCTAATTAGATGGTCAAAAGAACACAAATTGTCACTTTTAACTTAAGTGGACTTAAGCAACTTAGATACTACTTCAATAACTTTAAGCCAAAGAGCTTCAACGTAAAATCATAGAGCTTACCTATTAGCTAATGGATTTTTTATAGATAATTTTTATGTGAAAATATGCAGTTGAATAATCGTAGACTGATGGCAGACTAGCTTGAATAAATTCCAGCCGACAGGGCTGGGGCCATATGTCAGCGCGCGAAATATTAAAATCCCAGGCCTCAATCGTGTTTTGTTTGTGAGGTTATATGAATGCTTAATCTGATGAGGTTTTTTTCGATTTGCAAACGTTGTTCCGAAGTAAGTCTGTTCATTATAAAATGGCAAACCCAAGTATGTATAAATCAAGCAGTCAGAAAGACCTACATCTAAAAAAATATTACTCTACTGAAAACCATTCGTCACATGTAACACCCGTTATTATTTATGTGTCCATGCAAAATATTAACCGTTCAGCATAGACTATACTTTCCTTTTCAAGGTCTTAATTGTTCCATCATTTATGTATCGAGTTATTTTGAAAGCAGAGCAGAAGTTGACCAAAAAACACTTACACACAAGAAAAAATATGTTTTCTGAATATTATATCGAGAAATCAGAATGTTTACACATTTAGAAAAGAGTATATTGTTTAAAAAGCTTAGAGAAGCATAAGTTGTCTTCATATAAAATTTCTGTAACGTTAACCAAATTCTCATTCACTCTACAATGATTACAGCTAAAGGTAATAAATTAACATCAAAATTTTATAAAAAGGCCTGTCTGTTATATATATTCACATAAAAGTGTACCCAAATGAATGCTCACCTTCCAATCGTACTACCTTATTTTTGTTACATACACAAAACTCACACAACTGTAAAAATACCTTTGATAGAATTGTGAAACTGAACTTAGAAGTTCATAGCATTAGAATTGAATATCTCAATGAAGATTTAATTATGAGTACTATGTGCCTATGGGGTCTTAATAAAATAAATTGCCGTTCTTGTAAAAACATTCACGTCTTACTGCTCACTAAATTTAATTCCGCTTTGGTTCCCACAGTACAAATATTTATAAGAAAGACTTCTCATTTATGTCATCCTGAAATGAGTAAATGCTATCAGTAGTACTTGCATGCAGCGTGTTTTCTAAACGAGAATTTGCCTTAATTTACAAGGTATGATTGCACAAACAAAAAAAAACTACAAGTTTTAAAGCAAAATATATTTTTAAAGTTTTTTCATAGTCGTTGTATTTCTTTGAATAATTGCCTAATGTATTAATTTAGAATCAAACAAAAATAACACGCTTTTTTACGTTACTGTAAATAAAATGGAATCCTAAAAGTATGCAATATTTATTTATTCTGCGTTATTTCATTTACATGTAGAGTAAACAAGTGAAATAATGTTGATTTAAAAATATATTATTTATAATGTCAATGTTTACGGTCATATGTAGTAGTGGTTCCTTTACCTTCAACCCAAAACTCTCTGTGTCTTTTTATTTTGCATTGTGCGTGTGGTTCACTTTTCGCACTAATGTAAATATTAGCATTAATAAAAAACTAATAGCTGGAATTCACAAAACATTGTTTTTATTTGTCAATTTATTATTATTGTGTATTTGCTTTTATTTATTTTAAATTATTTTAATATTTTTTAATGATTTCATATTTGCACGGTACTTAAAATATATGTTCTCCAAACGTATTAATTATTAAAAAAAAGATATATATATCAGCAAGCTTTTTTGTGCATTTGAGATAATTTTCCTGGATTGTGTTAGTCACATTTCTTTCGCAATCGCGAATTCAGTTAAACAATCATATTTTCCACTACATATTTTGATATTTTCACCATATTTATATTTACTAGCAATTAATTCTGTTTAATCTTCAGCGCATCGCTGTCAATTACCAGCTTTTGAAATAAATCCACATTAACAATCGCATATCAAATGCATAATGCCATTCATTTCATTCTTATCCCTTCTCAACTTCTCAGTGCTTCGCTCAAACAAATTGCAATTATTACAACTTTTGTTCAGTTTGACACTTTGGACTTTTCGCCTCAGGCTTTGCTTTGCCGTCAAAGGCGGTATTGATGCCATCGGATAAATCACTCATAGCACTCATTGCTTCATTCTGCGCCTACTTATTATTATTTTTATTATAAGCCATCGTTCGGCATTCAACACAAAATTCGTATGAATTGTTAATCCGTTATGTTTACACGAGCGTCGCGCTGCTGTTTCACACAATTACACAGTTATGTACATTCACGGTACGGTTGCGGTATGCGCGTCAACACGCCGTTAGTTGTCCTTTATGACTATTTCAAAAATATCTTGGCGCTGATTTTGCCTTTTCAAAAATCCTTTCGCGTTCGTTGTGCTTTGGCACTGGTCCACACATCGTCCCGTATTGTTGGCTCGCCTCGTGCGTTCGTCGTCCTTTCGTCTTATCGGTTTGGTTAGTGGTTCTTTCGTTCGCAGCGTGTTGATTGTCGCTTGTAGGTTAGTTGCTGGCACGACGTACTCTGCACAAAGCTTTCAATCACATGTTCTTTTGCAGATATGCTCTTTGTGTTTGCCTCAGTCTCATCTGTGGTGTGTGTGGGCGTAACTTTACGGATGGGCTGAATCACCTCCGATAATACCATTTCCACCAGCTAGTTCGAGCTGTTCTTCATGAAAAGGGGCACTTTTCCACAAGTGGTGGTGAAAAGTTTTAGCTTCACTTAAAACACCACACAGGGAAGTGTGGTGGTTTCATATTCAACACATCTCTGTTGCGTGTTCACCATAACAACCCTTTGTAGTTTTCGTTAAATATTCGTTCTAGTTGTGCGAAGCGGGGAAAGCATTCAACGTATAGACATTTTACATTTGGCATAAGAGGAGAAACAACAAATAATTGAGAAATTATATCATGCGTTAATTTACTGAAACTGGTTCTTCCTTCAATGTTGATTATAACTCGGTGACTCTGGGTGAAAGATACTTCTGAAGTCAAAACGAAATTAGAAGAACGCAAAGTTAAAGTTATACAAATCCACTGGAAGTCTAAAGTGAATTTAATACCAAATCGGGCGCACGGTTTTGTGTAAATTTTACTAAATTCCCATAAATATATAACTAGGAAACTGGGTAAGGAATTATAATAAGTTAGCATACATTATTGACCCTCGTCTTCATTCTTAAAATCGAGTATCAGTCTTGATGACTATATTCTTTATCGTCTAGCTTAATTATAGCTTAGTAAAATGCTGATACCCGTTATTTAATATATAACTTGTTTCAGTACTCTGAAATTATTACATTTTAAAACTTTGAAAAGCTCTTATAAAGAAGTTTCGATTATGGTTAAAAAACGAAGACGAAGACAGTTACAGTACTTATCTGAAAATGGTTTAGAACCATGGTAGTGGAATAGGGTGCTCAGTAATTGTATAATTAAGAATAAGCAAGAAAGGACATAAAATAAAGGTCATATTTTCTCCATATCCGCAGCAAGATAAATATAGAAAGTTATAACAGTTTGTTTAAGGGTGGGAAATTCGCGAGGACTAGTCGAATAGGTATAAAATGGAACAAATATCCCTAGAGATGTCGCTGTAAGTACTAAAACTATAATGCAAAAACTTTTAATAGTAGAAACGTAAAGCTTTAGTGCAATTCAAAAGTTTCAAAAAGGTTTAAAAACGCAAACAAAGCTTTCGACACCAAAAATCGTCGAAGCTCTAAAGCTCGTCAAAAACTCACTTAACATTCGCGCCCTCATTCTCGTCATTGAAGACATGCTCTGATAACAGCAACAGCATCCCAATGTGTCGAGAGCACCGCGTAGGATGTGTCCGATACGGCAGGATGCTGTCTTATCAGATTGCTCGGAAAGCTCGTTGTGTACGCACACATTCGACGGATGTGCAACGCAAAGCAAAACAAGGCAAAGTGTGGAAAGCAAAAAAACATTAAATAAATTGTGAATTGTTGCGTTTCTGCTTTTTCCTCCTTCCCTCCAGCATTGACTGGGACTTCTATAATTTATAAAACGGTTAACAATGCATTGATATGAGTATTGATTGTGTCGTGCTCAAACAAACTCAATCTTCTGCGAGTGCCTAGATGTGTGCAAATCGAATAAATACATACACACACAACTGGACTTAGTGCGATTTAATGCGAAGAAAATCAGTTTGTGCGGCGGTAGAGGGCAGGTGAGCGCGGTTAACACGAATAGTGTCGTAGACAGCAGACAATGCTATAAAAGATATGGTATGTGTATGTGCAGATGAAAAAGTGCTTTGTTTCTACCTTCAGCTTCAATGTATTGGTTACGCCGAAAAGCATGCAACAGATCCTTGAAAGCATATTAAAAAATCGTTGCACGCACGCAAATACATAACTAAAACCACAACAGTGCTAAGCGCAGTGTCGGAGTGTACGTGTATTTGTGTGTATCCATCAACAATGTTAACTCTTTTGTTAGTTAAAGTCAAGAATCATAAATACCAATTCGCCTGGATATCGATGGCACACAAAGAGCACATTAAACTGCGTAAATTCTCATTTGTTCGAAATGAAAAAGGTTCGTGCGTGTGAGTGTGTGTATGAGTGTATTAGCTTGCAAACAAAAATACAATTTTTTTAGTTTTTTAAACAGTGAGCTCCTTGCGTGAATATGTGTGCGTGTGTCTGTGGGAATGGAGTGCAATTACCTACCACAAAGAAGCTGCGCATATTTTCCCATAACGACTTTCACCGATATTTGGGATATTAATATTCCCTGTGTGCGTGTGGTTGCGTGTGTGAGCCATCTGCTTTGCTGCAAAATTTAATATCACTCCCACTTGTTTGTTGTTGTAGACTTGTAGCATTATTGTTTCTTGTTTTTCTTTGCTTTAGCTTTTGTTTTCACTCCTCATGTTACTTTTCTGCCATTTATGTTACTGTCACTTGCTATAATGTTTAGCGAGCCGAGCTGAGACCTTTTCTTTTCTGCATACCTTTGCTACATATACACGCACACACAAAAGTGTTTTATTTCATACGTTTTTGTTTTCTGTTTGTATATTTGCTTACATCCATTGTCAAACTGTCTGCGACATGACCCCTTTCGAAGCTTTCGAGTTGGCAAATGTTAAATGTTGCACGGTAGATATAATTTATATTTGCCACACATACGTACAGACATATTTCGTTATACAACAACGTTCGCAGTCAAACAACAGGTGTGTGTAAGTACAGATATTTGTGTGTGTTAGTAAGTGACTTTATCTCTTGTGTATCTTACAACAATAACGCCTACCAACTTTACTGTGATTAAGCACCCCACAAACACAAAAGGAGACGTTTTCTTAATAACTCGCTACTCATCCTGTATACCGTGTCGGAAAAGTGTGTGGACTCCTTACTAAAGTCAAACGAAATATTAAATCAATTTCGCGTAAATAAAAGCTTTAATATTTCTTTGTGTTTTATGGTATCACATCGCACCTTAGCAATCAGCCTAAATGTAGGCAAGGTTTAATGTTTCGTAAACAAAATAGTGTTTTCGTTAAAAGGTTTATCTACATTTAAGCAGTATGCAATTTTTGAAAAAAGATCACGATGAATTTCTTCAAAAATACAGCAAACTACTGCCATATAGTGCTCCCCATTGACCGTTTGCCTCTTCATAAAGAAGATATGATGGGCCGACCACGTTGTTCGTGGAAAATATTTGTTTCAGTTTTGTATCTTCTTACTAACTTTCGTATCTAATTACTAACAATCTAGCGAATGCGAAGTCAATCATCTAGCGATGATTCCCCTCTTCCTCGATGATTGACCTCTCATTCGCTAGATTGTTAGTAAATTTGACTAAAATCCATAAACTTTCCATATCCATAATAATGCTCATGAGAGCTAATTCAAATGTGTTAGATATCTCGAAACTTTTTGGGGAATGCATTTTGCCACATTCCCAGTTACAGTTTGGACATAGCAAAATCCCTGAAATACTCTTGCAGTTATTTCAGTTCCATTGTGGCAATATCTTCATTCGACAGCAAGACCGGAAACCTCTTTTTAGAAATCATGTTCTGTGCAGACTTGAATTAGCAACATGATAAAACGAAAAGATGTTGGATCGTCCATTCAAAAGAAAAAATGCTTCGTCCAAATAAATCAACGATGTTGTAAACGGCAATGAACAACAAAACAATACTGGAAAGGTTTAATGCCACCATTTTTTTTGTTTGTTTTGTTTTAGTAGGGGGAAGCATCAAAAGCCGAAGTGCGGAACTTGAATCCGCTAAACCTAACCTACTCCCATCTCATATCTCTCCCACGGAACCACCGGATTAAGTATTACTTCATGGGAGAGAAAAGGACATTTAAGTCTCCTCTACCGTACGGACTGACTGACTTCGAATCTGTTGTAAATATCTCAGTTTTGTCATAATTAGAGTTGACGCTTCGCTGACAGCTTTCCATTTACCAGAGGACTGACACATATGTGCTGTCAAGGTTTCCACCGTTAGACTACCGAATGTTGATTTTCTCTAATATTTAAAAAACGGGGCACTGAAAAAATACGTGTTCAGAGTCTTCTATGCACTCTGTACACGTCGGACAAAACGGACTAACATCATGATAAAATTGGAATAAATACCTTCTAAAACATCCATGCCCACTCAGTATTTAGGTTAGGTGGAAATTCAGGTCCCCATGTCCTTTAGATGAGGTTTGCAACCGTTGCTGCCATATTGTTAGGCTCTGGGTTCTCTCCTCTTTTTTTTACTCCTGAAGACGGTGCTGAGAGCTGGTACAGTCGCGCGAATGTCAATAGGCGGCATGCTGGCTAATTCTTTAGCAGCATCACTTGATATCGTTTGGAAAGCACTTATTATTCGGATTGCAGAAAGCCTATTCACTGCGTTGTCTAGCATATGATTTTATGTCTAGCGCTTGTATCCATATTGGTGGTTATAATATGACCGAACTTATTGCTTTTGCTATTAAAAATTCTCGATAGAACATAATAATATTATAAATTTTATTCGCTTTACCGGAAGTATGCGCCAGGTGTTCTTTAAATTTTAATTTGGAGTCTAGTATTACTCCCAGATACTTCATCTGCGGCTGTGAAGTAATCTCGCACTCCCCTATGGTGAGTGACAGCCTTTCTTCCACCTTCCTTGTGCTTATGAGCAGAACTTCCATTTTCTGCTCGGCCAGCTCTAAGCAAACCATTGGCGCAGACCATTTATGCAATAGTTGCATTTGAGCCTGAGGTCATCTAAATGTTTAGCCACTGCTACCACTATGAGATCATCCGCATACGCTATTGTTTTCACGTTTTTTGGATGATGTATTCTTAGTACCCCGTCGTACATCAAGTTCCATAGTAGGGGGCCTAAGACCGCGCCTTGCGGTACTCCACCCGAGATAGTGTAGCTCTGAGTGCCCTCGTCGGTGTTGAATAACAAAATACGATTTTTAAAATAGCTCGTTATAATATTTACGAGATATTGGGGAGCGCTTATGTCGTATAGAGCTTTGTTTATATTTGCCCACTTTGCGGAGTTGAACGCATTCTTCACGTCCAGAGTAATTGGCGCGCAATATTTTTTTGTGCCACCTTTCCATCTTTTGCCTCTTACTGCACATTTCGCAGTATCAACGACTTCTCTTAGTGCGTCAATAGTGGACCTTTTTTTGTAAAGCCGTATTGTCTTTCTGATATTCCGCCGGCTTTTTGGATAGCTAACTCCAAGCGGTTTCTTACAATGCTTTCGTACACTTTACCAATCGTGTCGAGCATGCACAATGGTCGATAAGATGAAGGTTCATCCGGTGGCTTTTTTGGCTTTGGGAGCAGTACCAAATGTTTTATCTTCCAGGGGTCGGGGAACACCTCTTCTATTATACACGCATTGTACATTTTTACAAACAAACTGGGATTTATAGTCATGACTTTCCTTAGGGCTCTGTTGGGTATGCCATCTATTTCAGGCGCTTTGTTGGTTTTTATTCTTTTAGCTATGGTCAATATTTCATCTTCAGTGACCAACAACGGTGGCTCTGCAGCATTGTTTCGTGGCTTAGCGTAGGATATAGGGTGGTGTGTCGGAAATAGTGAACCGACTACTCTTCTCATAAAGGATGCGCTATTAGGCTGCTGGGACTTCTTTTTAAATTTGGACATGCAAATTTTGTACGCAGTTCCCCATGGGTCTATGTTCGCTTCACTACAAAACTTTTCGAAACTATTTATTTTGCTGCATGTAATCGCAGACTTCAGGAGCTTATTATGCCTTTTAAACGTTTCCCTGAACTCAATATCGTTTGCGCCACTCTGGTTACGCTGTAGGCGACGTCTGTCTAATGCCACCACCACCATGATGTGATTAGGAGTGTGACGCGTTGAAACTTATAAAACGCCCCAACGGACGAATAATATCGTGAATATATTTCCGAGAAAAATAGTTGGGTGGTTGCTTTGCTGCCCATGGGCGATGTGGTCTTCAAAGTTTGTTATTCGGACCAATATGGCATATAGCTGTCATACAAACTAACCGATCAAAGTCAAGTGCTTCTATGGAAATATTTTTTGTTTGACAAACTTGAACATATACGAGTATTACTATCAATAGCAATGCTACAGTCTCCGAATAAAATGTTCAGATCAGAATATTGTAGCATACCGCTTCCTTTCAAAAGCACCGAACAAAGTTATCTTCATAAAAGATCTTTCTTTTTAAGTAACTTTAATTCGACTTGAAGATTGTTTGTACCAAACAACGACGCTAGAAAGAACTATTAAAACATTTTAGCTTCAGTACAGCCGATATTATGTAGAGAAAAGAATAAAAATAATATTTCCAAGCATTTACTTACAAACATCACATAAAGCTTACTATTCGTCCAAATCCTGACAATTCTACAATAAACGTGCTTGTTTTGCATAAGCCCGTGTCAGCATTCCGTATTACCGTCAAATGAGCTTATAATGCTGACATTGCCAACCGCGACTACACCCTTACCTGCATACCTGTACCTGTCTGTATGTGTACACGAGCGTGTTTCCGTTTGTTTTATTCCGCATAATTTCTGCCTGCTTAACTGTTTTATGAAGCTTTCGCTTTGCGACTGTTGAAAGTTTAAATTTGACAAATTTTTCGCAACAAACGAAAATGGTTGTTGGCCCACTCCTCGCTGTATGTTTTTCACAAAACTTTCTGCGTTCACATAGGCACATAAACATACACACACACAGGCTCAGAATTTTTCCATGCACTTGCATTAGCCGCAATTTTTAAAAATAGTCTCGCGACACTTGGCGAGGATTAAGTTAAGCGCCACCAAAGCAAAGTTGACTGCTGACAAATATGAGTGCGCTGGTGGCACAACACTTAAGCGCCGGCAACTTGCTACTAAACTACTATTTAAGTAGGCAATTTGACGAGAGCGGAACGCAGAGGTTGCGGGCGGAAAAGAAAAACAGCTCCTGTACTTTCGCATTTGTGCAATTGCTCGACATAAATAGGCATGTTTTTACGTACATATGTACATATGTTTGAATGCATGTGTCATATTTATTTTTAAAGTCCCACTTATATAATATTTTAAAAACTGTTTCAACCCACTGGACCCTCAACAATGTCACTGTCGCTGTCACATCTCTTCTGCTAGTTGAAACGCTACTTGCAAGGACTCTTTCAATTGCTTGTCAGCAGTGTGAACCGAATGTAACCGTGTAAACCGGTAACTTTCATGTGTATACACGCATAATCTTTTATACAGTGAGTCAGAAAAGTTTTCGCGGTAAAAACCATAATTTCGAAGAGCTATTTATCATCATTTAAATTTCATATGACATCCAAAAAAATTTACTAATTTAATTGATTTAGTAAAAAAAGAACGGTATGAAATGGTAACGAATTTTCAGAGTGAGGTGAAGTAAGAATGAATGGAGATTTCAGGAGCGGAACCCCAGAATTGATTTTGCCCAGATATGCTTCTTTGTATTACCTACTTTATGAAAAAATTATCAAAAATATGAAAGCAATTCATAAGGCCTTTTACTTCAATTAAATGTAGTATTTTGTATATACCACGACACTTTTAATTTCCTATACATAAATGCACCTTAGTTGTTAGACTCTCGGCTGTGGTCGCAATTACTTTCCGTAAATTATAATCCAAAATTGCATCTAGTCTTCTCACATTACTTTTGCTAGCCATTTCCTCCACACTGTAAATCTTCGTTATATAATACCTATTATATGTCGAAGTACTCTTAAGACATACTAATACAGAAATGAGGTTATAAGGTAGCTTGAAGACTCAGAGTTGTCGCATTAGGCTACTTGCTAGTTCTCAATAAAAATTGACATACCGGCATCAGAAAATTTCTGTGATGTCAAATAAAAAAGTTGGAGAATTTCAGTGATAAGGCAAGTGCCAAATGAACGGCAGGGCTTACACCGGTTCTAAAGCCCAGAATCAATAGACAAAAAAATAATGTTATGTTAATCTATGTTTTAATTTTTCAACATCAAATTTTCATCTTAAGCACACACTGTCAAATTTGTGTGTATATGTGACTGAGCATAAGTGAAAATATTAGAAAAATATTTCATAATGCAAATATACAAGTGTTATGTATAACTCATATACATACACATATTTGTAAGTATATACAAATATACTATATTATATATGATTGTGTGTATGTACATATGTGCTTGGCAAACTGTGCCGGTGTAGTTGAAACGCAATGCGACTAAACGAATGGCAATCACATTTCGAGTGTGAAGGACTACAACTACTGATTCCGTTTTCCAATTAGTGATTGTGCTCGCATTTTACCTTCATTTTCTCGTAAATCGATTTTATATACAGAACATAAGTGAAAATAAGAAGGTTATCTTTATAATATAGAATGTCATAAGAAAGAAGCAAACTGGTACATACATATGTATGTTTAGTACATAAGTTATTTAATACATACTTGTAATATCAGTTACTACGCGTATTTGTAAATTCAAAGCCTAACATCCACAAGTAGCTTGATGCAATATTTGGTCGAGTCTCATTTTGTTGTGTAGACATTAAGGTTCTACCATAAAACCATTTCCGCTCAACTAAGAAATTCTTAACCGAGCTTATTAAAGTCAAAAAGCAATAATTTGTCTTGCCAAAAAATGGATTAAACCATGACTTCATTATGATTATTCCTGTAATTCCAGTATCGAATGAAACGCAAAAGCGACAGAAAAAGGGAGGGGATGGCGCAGTCGTACAGAAGGAGACATGGAAAAGAAACGAAAACGCGACAGATTCTGAGTAATGCTAATGTTATTGTTAGGGATAATGTTAATGCTAATGTGTTGGCAATCATTACTCCGAACCAAAAAATTAACGATATAGTAGAAGATTTGCACACTATGCCAAACAGTTTAAGCGGTGATTTTAAATTCATGTTTGCCTTGAAAGAAGACCAACAGTACCGAAGCTATAATAGCCTTCACAAATACAAAAGGTACCTTAGAAAAACTTGATTCCGATTGTTCAGTTTGTATGGCAGCTATATGCAATAGTGCTCCGATATCGGCCGTTCCGACAAATAAGCAGATTCTTAGTGAGAAAAAGGCAGGTGCAAAATTTCAGATCGATACCTTAAAAACAGAGGGACAAGCAGACAGACGGATACGGCTAAATCAACTCAGCTCATCATACTGATCATTTATGTATATATTTTATAGAATCTCCAACGTTTCTTTTTGGGTATTACAAACTTCGTGGCAAACTTAATACACCCTGTTCATGGTATAAAAATTAATATTAATCCCAAAAACTCAACGACCAGATAAGGCACGACATGGATGCAATTTTCTCAAGATATTTAAATAATTTACAATCACGAGTTTTCATTTCATATTTTTCATACCACAAACCAATTGTATCTTTTCTTTACATGAAAGTACGGAAGTAAATTAATAGATTTTTTATAAATGGAGGGGAAAACATCAACTATCATTTTTATTAACCTCACAACCTTAAAAAATTCCAGAATAATGAATAGTGGCTTCTGTTATCGGGGAAATATTTCTATCTCTTGGTGGCTAGGGTGAATATTTTCGTTTCAAGTGCCCATCGAGATCCATGGAGTTTCAGTTCTATCACCTAGCTTTCTAGGCTGTTTGGTTTTTTTTAAGAAGGCTGAAATATTACTTCAAAGTTTTGTTGTTGCTTTTTCATAAACACCAAATGCAAAATAGTGTTTAAAATGGGTTTAAGATACTGTTTAAGGGAAAACCGCGTGTTTACGTTGTGATGGTTTAGTTTTTAAAACTGGACAATAAACTTAAATTCATATGTTTACCATAAGAAATCTTTCCTTCTGTGCTCATTGCAGCAGTAGATTTTGAAGAGTTATATTTTTTAGCAAATACTAGTTTACAAAAGAAAATTTAATCAAAGAAATAATATAAGATCCAGCTAATCTGGCTCAATCTAAATCTATACAAAATGATTATTCCCAACAAGTTGCATAAGTACGCTACTTTAGAGGCCAGCAGAATAAGGAAATGCATTCCAGAGGCAGGCATAACAAAATGAACCTCAACCTAATTTAATTTATCACAACTGCCTGTCCAGAGCTAATTGCGTTGGCATTTATTAAATGCCGTTAACGCGTGTTCTCAATGAGCATAATTCAATTGAACGTTTAGTATGAATAGAGTACAGTCATACATATGTATGTATACACACATGTCAATCAATTTTACGAGTGTATAAATAGCCAACTAACTGTATAATCAAAAGATCTAGTTAGGAACAGTTATTGATAGCTCGCAAAAGCCTATCGTGCACACCGCATCCTTCGTTATTTGAATACGCTTCTATTGTTGACATTTTACTATTTACAGTTAGCTCAGTTCATATCAAAAGTAATGCTAACCCATACATAGACACACAAGTATGCGTAAATATAACAAACAAATTGACAGAGGAGACGTCAACTAATTGAATACGAAAACGAGTCCTTATTTAAGCGAACGGTAACTGAAACCCATAACAACCGCAAGAACAACAATCAATAGTAACTGTAATTACAACGGAAAACATAACCTAAAGAGCGGGTTGAAATCGATGTGATGCCTACGCGACGGTCGGGCGGCGCCACAGTGCGACGCAAGCACTCAATTGGAAATTTGCGACGCGCTCATCCCGCCTCGGGTGCCACATGGAATGTGCAAGTGGTACGTGGTAAAATGTCATCTAAGTGCCTTTGGCATGCTTGTCGCGCACTTGTGCTGGGTCTGACACTGATGCTACTCGGCGCCGGTATGGCTACGATAGGTAAATTGGGTGTGCTCGGGTGTAATCATCCGACTGACTGCAATTCCAAATACAAATACTTTTGTTTTTATCCCAGGTTACTATGCGGACCACCTTTCTACGAACTCTGAGCTGCGTGGCAATGCGACGGTGAGAGTCAAAAATGACCTGAAGGGCTTCCATCTCAACAATCTCTCTTACGTCGGACCAATTGTAATGGGTTTCGGAGGTTTCATTGTGGTTGCTTCGTGTGTTATGACATTTGAGGCGCGCGACTCGGCGGCAAAAGTGGTGCCAGCGCGTTTTCGTGCCGGTGCGGGTGGTAGCAAGACAACGGTGCGTAGTAATCAAAGCAGCGCAACTTCACAGCGCCGCGCCATTGGTGAGTCCTGACTGTTGATGAATACGTTGACTGCAAGTAACAGCATCTCTTACAATTTTACAGGCATACAATTGCAGTCCTCACGTTGGGATCAACAGTTTGGCGTGTTTCGCACATCCCCAGCTGAGCCGCCTCCGCAAGCCACACCGCAGCCTTTCGATCGTGACGCACTTACCGCGGAGCTTGTCAAATTTTCAAAATCACTCAGGTAAATGTAGTTCTCATATTATGTTTTTATGTTATGATACATACCATTTAACTGCATGCAATCGCATCCGCTTTCCCGCAAGTAAACATTTATGCCAAAATCAAACTTAGCTCAGCTCTCAGCTCTAGCATTAAAATCAAGAAAAAATCGCTTTCGCTTTCATTCCATTAGCGCATCCGCTCGCTTTTCTCCACAACTACGACGCCTCACCCACACTGGTTCTGTGCCAAATCTCTCCACACATGTCCCCCATCCCATCGCTTACTCCACTAACCTCTCACATTTGCTTTCGCCGAATCACAAACCACTTTTGTTGTTGGAACAAAAACGTCACCATCGCCACCATCATCGGCACCACCACCACCATCGCCAAACACCCACGAGCAGCAGTGGACGACAATTGAAGTCGCGTGGACCACGCATCAGCAACAGTTTGGTACAACGTAACACTCGTGAAAATGGTGGTCCTTGTGCGTTGCTACAGCCACCAGCGACAAACAAGCTCTACTGGCATGCTGCCTCTTTCGACGATGGTCTTCGTGGGGAGAAGCATCTTTCAAGAGCTACAATCGCTGACATGTCTCGCCGCTCCGATACGGCCAAACGTCATGTGCTGGCACGACAGAAGCCCATCGAACATGAAGAGGACAAAAGCAGCCCGCTGGGCAATCGCAGGTGAGTCGGTTATTGTGTGGCCAATGAAAATAGTCCATTTCAGATTTACATAACATGCCCTTCGCGAGATTTGTTTATTACTCGATCACTAAAATCCGACTCAAATATATGCATACTTCGAATGGTATCATTTTCTCGCCAACAGAAGTTCTACTATGTCAGACTCATCGTACAGTGGCCGCTGGACGGCACGCTGCGCTTCCATGGCAAGTCGCGCATCAAGCATCGATTCACGACGCATACAAGTAGATCTGCATAGCCCTGAAGTATTGCCGAAATCCATACTGCGTTCACCGAAGCGCTATAGCTCTGGACCATCGGCTACTCCGTCGGTAGAAAAAGAGTTCAAGTAAGAAAAGACGCCCTTCTCATACTCGTACTAACTCAATTCATACACTATTTCAGAAGCCAATTAAGCGTCTGCTCAGAACCACCCGCTCCCATACACCATCTTTCCGGTCAATCGAGCTTAGAACCTTGTTTTCCCGAAGAACCCATTGATAACATGGACGAAAAACCGGGTACCAACATTAATGGGGTCGCTTTATCACCGGATGCGCTAAACGTGGCCATTCAAACCATATCCATGACAACCCCAAATCATATGGAAGAACTACCACCACCACCGGGATCAAAGAAATTAAATAGCATTCTGAAGAAAGCACGTCCCGACACACTTTCCCTCGCAACCAATACAAAACCCGCCGTAGTGAGTGAAATTAATAAATCTCTTTGTCGCAGCAACTCCTCGCGCACTTTCTATAGACCCAAACCGCAACTGCCCAACGAACTGGACGACAGTATCTTCTACATACGTTCCTCAAGCGAACGACAAAGCATCGATAGTAATGAGCTCTACGATTCAGTGCAAGTTATAAATGAAAGACGAACAACGCTGCTGAGAGCGGAGAGTGAAGCTGCACTGTATAATGTGCGAAAAGCGAACAGTTTCTCACTGCTAGCCGAAATACCAGAGCGTGCGCAAAATAACTCGATAGATGTGGAAGAGAGTACGCCCAGCGAGGCGGCGAAGCATCCCCAGCTGAAAAATGAGACCACCGTGGAAATCGAAAGTGAACCAACCCAACCACCGACAAGTGAGATCGCGTAATGGAGTGATCGAAGTGTTATATTTATAAATCAAATACTGACATACTGTCAGCGTTCTTGAGTTCAGGAAACATTAAAAGTTGTGTAGAAACCTCTAGAAAATAGTATATTTTATACCAAAAACACAGAAAACATATTTTGTAGACAAATATTTCGGTACAAGTATATGTACATATGTAGTGATGTTCTTTGGTAAGTATACAGTTAGATCAGTTCGTATTACATATTTAGTGAGTTTCTGAGAAAAGTTTGAGAACCACTGTAAAATCGATTTATTAAGTACACTGCTGACAGATTTTATACGTAGGTAGTGGCTCAATCAGCAGGATATTTGTATTCTTTAGCATTATCTTATTAACGTTATATTATATATTCTTGGTTAACTTATAAATACATAGGGGTAGAGATCTATAGCGCTCTCTCTTCCCTCTAAATACTCAGTTAATGAGAGTGTCAAGCAATAAACACTAGGTCTATGAGCTTGTTAAGAAACAATTATTTACAGAAGTTGTTGTTATATAAATATTGTTGTTGTTAAATGGCTGTCTTATGCATAGTTAAGTTAGCAAATGATTAGAAGTTTCATCAACGAAACAATAAAATATAACTATCAATAACCCAAGAATTGTAGAACGAACTCACTCGCATAGATAGACACGTGCTGTGCAGATGTCTTGCAGATTTTATGAAATTAAGTTTTATTTCGAATAATGTTAATATACTTTTTTTGTGTTTCTAAGCAAGACCTTTGGGGTCTCAAGCAGTCTAGTTTTTGGTTTGACGTTTGAGTTGTAAGTTTTACGAAAAACTCTATTTTCATATAATGAATTATTTCCATAAAAAACGAGATGATATCTTAAAATAATTCAGTTATATATGTATATAAGTCTTAAACGAGCTTCCACAAATTATTAAACATAAAACCTACTATAACTATATAGTCTTATGTGTTCCAGTAGTATCTAAATAACAGAGTCTACATATCTTTTTATGATTAAAAAATAATTTCCGTCAATTTGCTCAAATAACTAATAAAATGAAACGAATATATCAAAACATCATGCCATTTTTTAAATGAAGTTTAAACTAATAGATTACTGTCTTACTAAATATATTTAATTGTGCTGAAACTAATCGGACTTTCCTACTCTAAATCTATTTAATTAATTCTAACCAACCCCAATTCAAATTTTATTTAAAATTATACTTACCTTAAGATTACCATACTTACATTGAAGACTGATGTGTATAATGTACACCGTTTGCGTGTAATTTCAGTAGAAACAAATATTATCAACTGAAAACTGTAATCAAAATAATGATTGGTATGAATTCATTAAAACCTCAAATTTCATAAATGTATAATAAGTTTATACACAAAGTAACTTATCATCATTAGGACCATGATCATATGAAGGGTCGAATGTGATAGGTAGTACAGATTAATCTTATTGAAGTAACGGATTATTTAAACTGGCAAAAAACACCTTTTTTTGTTAGTTGAACTGGTGTATAGTAAAATGGCCAAAAATAACCTTTAGTTCTCTTTCTCAAATTCCACACAAAAAGCGTGGAGTAGAAATTTTACTATATACAATACATACTGGTATATAGCTCTTGCATTTTTACGAAAACAGAATTAGATTATGAGCTGACATAATATCGGTTGATGGCCACTGTGACACTATCAGGGTAATTTTCTTATTCATTAAATTGCGAGTATATGTATATGCTTATATATCTGTAGTTGAAAATTTAAGTTTAAGAACATATCGCAATATAACGAACTACACAACTTGCTATTTATCTCCCCAACTCATCAAGAACTTCTTTATTTGAGAATTTTGAAACGTAAATTTTATTGTCTACTATGTATTTTATGAAAAGAAATCAAAAATCAAAATACTTCCATTAAATCTTGAAAATCAAAAAACAAAAATTAAAATTAAAATTTTTAAATTAAATATACAAAAGAGCCACGAATATTTCCCAATCATTACACTGCATCACAAAAGAATTTGTACATTTATTTACTATAATTGGGATCTCCACAAATACAAAAATATATCTCAATGTTATATCAGCGATCGGTGTCAATTGAAAACATTGAAGCATTGATATTTAGTGTTACGTAATACGTAACTATAAGTGTGTTGTTTTGAAACTAGCGTTTTCGAAGCACGTCATTCAACAGGTGTTTCTCGTTCATGTGAATTGTTGCCTAATTACTCGGATAAACTATACAATGTAAGTTAAAAAAAAAAAAAAACAACAACAAAAAATCAAAAAAAAATAAATAATGCAAATAATTCAAAGCAAATAACACAAGCAATGTACTTATGAAGAACTACTTTGTATTCATTATAGAAAATAAACATACAAAAAAAAAAATTTATAAAAGCAGAGCACTCACAATAATATACTTTACTTTAAAATATTATTGAATGTATGTATTTGTGTGTATTTTATAAATGTGTACATTTCGTATAAGCAACAAATTAGATTAAATTATTGGAAAAGCAATTTAAATTGTGTAATTTGTGTACTTAATCACATGCCAAATAAAAACAAATAAAAATATATTTAAAAAAATTAAAACATATTTTTTAATAGTAAAATTAAAGTATTAAAAATTTTGTTTTTATTTTATTAAATATTAATAGTCAGTGACAATTTAAAGAAAGAAAAAAAATAATATCGTAGAATCGTGAATGACATCTGAAACCTATTTGGGACACCCCAGGTAGTCGGCCGGCTTTTATTGTTCGTAGCCGAGCAGATGCCGTTCGAGAGAGAAAGAAAAACTCAAGGTTATCTCTTTGTTTTCTATCGCGCACTAGATTCGAGCATTTTTTAGTATGTAACAGATTTTTGGATTTCACGAAAAGGTTACCATGCGTGCCTACGTTCCTAAAAAAAATAAAGCTGTTATTCTGATATCTACAATGCATTCAGATATATCAGTTGGTGATGACGCTAAACGAAAACCAGAAATAATAAATTTTTATAATAAATATAAAGCTGGAGTTGACACAATGGACCAAATGGTGCGGAGATACACCAGTCAACGACGATCTTCGAGATGGCCAATGGCAATGTTCCTCAACATTTATTATAAAAATTGCCATTGAAAGTGTATTAGTGTAGAGACTCCAAAAAATAAAACCGGAACAGGATCTTGTCATGTCTGCAATGCTTTGCCAATAAGAAGACGGCGAAAGGCACATAAGGCCTGTGCCAATTGTCACCAACCTGTGTGTGACGAGCACTCAGTTAATCGTGTACAATGTGTTCAATGTCATTAATTATAAAAAAAAGTGTAATATTTTTTTATTTTTTTAATAAAATTTAGTTGCATGCATTAATAGAAATTATATACAATTTTTTTCCTATGTTTTCCACTGCGGGTAGCCGGTTGCTAATAGGGCGATGGCTAGAGTTTAAACTATTTAAAAAAAATAAATAAAAAATAAATCAATTAATTGAACTCACAAATAGCTTTCTTTTAAGTTGAAAAACGACGATTTGAGAGCTTAAAATGAAATATTGAATTTTTTTAAGCTACTCACACAAATACACCGCGGTGGGTACCCGGTTACTAACATAAGGATTAAGCCGTGAATTCTCTAGAACTGAACTGAACGGTAGCGAGTAAACACTATCGTTAGCCTAGCTGAACTAGTTCGGACATGTCCAAAGGTTTTCGGCCCTTTCGTTAAGTTTTGAACTCTCAAGTGTCTGAGGAATGGACTCTTTCTTAAAGTAGTTGTAAGAGACCACTGATGTCTTTAATTTATGCAGTTATCGAAATGTACTTTTCGGTTGCGTTTAACGTGAGAAACGATTACCATTCTTCTTCAACTTTAAACATTTCATAACTTTAGTGATCTATAAAAGCTACAGGTGAACCTTTCAAACTATGTAAATATTGTAGAAGTCAACCTCCTTCTAACATAAGTAAAGGGAGACCACAGAGAATCAATATATAGAAGTGTTGAATTTAAAAATGAACACCATTTTTTATTAGTTGAATACATCTCTTCACTTACGCTAAGACTTTTGTTGCAGTTTAGCTACTTTATCACATATTTGTTGTAGCACACATCACAGCGATCGCTCATTTCATATGGATTCAGGACACGCGCGGACCGACTACGCGCCACCTTGCTAAGCTCGCCTATAAAGAGCACTTTCTCCAACTGATCACTTTCATACGACGACGAATGCCGTCGGTAGGATGAACTATGTGACGGGCTGTGGAAAAGAGATAAAGGTGGTTTGAGAATCGACGTTTTGGCTTTTAGCGGCATCATTGTGGCGCTACGATCCAAATTGAGGTAGGCAGTTTGTGGAGATAGTGTATTAATTAGATCTTCCATACTCGTCGAGGCAGCTGAATAATTATCAACATCTGCATGTGAGCTCACGTCAGCGTCGGTGTGTAAAGCTCCTTCATAATCGATACGAGTACTCTCCTCATGATCGGTACTAGAGTATTCTTCCAAATCGGTTTGTGAATCTTCCTCTATGCTGGCGTGTCGCGAGAAATTCCGTTCATCTCTGGTTACATCGTCATAGTGTTTAAGTTGTTCGAGCTCTTGCGATAATTCACGATTCAGTGCCTCCTCATCGTAGTCTTCGGTTTCGGGTGTAGAAAGATTCGTGCGTATGATAATGCTGCTGGAAGACTTTGACGATTTCGATGGCGAACTATTATGCGATTTATGACTCGGAGAATACGAAATATCCTTAATTTGTTTTATTGGACTGTTTGTAAATTGGTTCGTTGGAGTTTCTTTATTTTGTACATTTTCTTCATTATTCGTTTGATTTGTGCTGAGATGGTCATTCACTCTAAGAGTTTCTTTTAGATTGTGCATATGATTTGTTATGTGTTTAGACCTATGTTCACCATTGTTCTGTTCATGGCTTTTTATCGAGTTGGTAACTGGACTACTCTTACTGGTTCTAGATGTGTTTATGGGGATTTCCCGTCGTGGGCCATCTATACGTTCTGAACGATATTTTATATTTTCAATATTATTTAAATTTTCTTTAAAAAGAAGAGAACTCTGCTCATCATGGTATCCCTTATTGGCATAATTAAGGTTAAATTGTGTGCCTCGAACAGATTCGTTGCCGGTTACTTTTTTTACCCCATTATTCCCCTCACCGTTGAGTTGCGAAAAATAATTTTGTTTCTCCACTTCTTTTGGGCCCTGTTTTTCGTGATAGGGGCTCGAAGTATTATATTTCCTAGGAGTTCGAAGTTTTTCCTTCGGTAGAGAACTCAAGGTTGCATTATATTCAAATCTGTTACTAATATTTGTATATTCCCCTTTACTATTTCTTCTACTGGAACTGTTCCAATTATTTTTGTTAGAATACCTATCATTATTGATAGTGGTTTTTGACTCTTGATTCAATTGATTCCCACGTGCACTGATTCCCCTGACTTTATTATTGATGGGAGAACGGCTTTCTGTAAGCCTACTTGTAATTTGAGTAGAACCATCATTTGTGCTAAAGTTGGTTTCTAGCGCTCGACTATGGCTACTTGATAGATCTTTTCGACCGGGGCTGGTATTTTCCCACAAATTATGCGTCTTCTCATGATGTGCAGGGGACTTTTTTTTTGGACTCATGCTGAAACGACCTCTAATAGCTAAATTTTCCATTTGCGTATATTCTTCAGTATTTTGTGAACTATTACTCTTCTGTCTCGAAGGAGAGGGTTTACTTTTAAGTTTAATGGCATTATTATTCCCCTTACTTTCGACAGTTGAGCTACTCTTTGAGTTTCGCCGCACAGGACTAGGGACCGGTTTCTCACTACGACTGGAACTGGTATTAGAGTTCGAAGTATCCTTATTTTCAAGCCACATATTGGACTTGTTCCCTCTCTTAATAGGCTCTTTGTTTAGTAATTTCTCATTTTCAACATCTGTTTGAATATTTACACTCTTCACGTTAGCACTTTTCTTTTCCCCGTTTGTCTTCTCAGTGTTCACAGCCTTTGCAAGGATTTCTTTCTGCCTTTCGTGCTTCACAGGCGTCTCTTTCTTGATCTTCAATGCTTCTACGTTATGTGCATGTTCCTTCCCATTCTTCACATCTAAGGTATCTCCATCATTTTTTGCACGTTCAACAGCTTGCTCAACAACCTCCATCAGGGAATGTGCCACAAGCGTTGTAGTCTTTTCTTCACTTTTCAAATGTGGCAACGAATGCGACTCTGCGGCCATTTTAATAGGTGATAGAGCTTCCGCTAACGAAAATCCATTTATAGACAACTCTCCTGAATTAACCTCTTTACTTTCTTTTATACTGGCTTTCCGCTCTAATCTGATTTTAGTCGGAGTTTCCGCTAAGGGTTTTACTTTATTTTTCGTCTCCACCTTATCCTGCATAAGCGCTCTTATTCTTTCCGGCGAACCGGATCTAGCATATAGAATACGACCTTTACTCGCAGGAGGCGAACCTGATCTTCTCGCAAATACTCTTCTATTAACGGGTGAACCGGAGCGTGTTTGTCCGAATATTCTTGATCGTCCTTTCGTCTCACCTCTCAGCGACGCAAAAGCTTTCGTTGATTTTAGCTTCGATTGTGAGATGACATTTGCTGCCAACTGTGGGTCTAGTGGTGCAATTACACGCGGTAGCGCCTTGCCAATGTGTGACGGAGGCGAATGCAAACCGGAACTCGAAGCACCTCTTTTCCAACTGGCAGTTCGTGGATTGGGAAGTAATTCTGGTTTCATAATAACAGGCGTCGAATAGCCAGAACGTGTATAACCAATAACCGAAGGTGTAGGTGAACTAATACGTGGACGTTGTGGATTATAGTCGAAGTGACGACTAATGGCGGGTGAAACCGTTAGTGAGCGTAACGCACTAGTTACATTACGTCGATTACTAACAAAAGTAGCGAATTCGCGCTGCATACGCTTAGCGTTCACAGCAAGTACGCCATTGATTGGTAAACGAGCACGTCGTAACCTCGGACTATCGGACGCCGTCGAATGTTGCGGACTGCTGTTACTATTATAATAAGCGTCACTGTAACAGCTGTCATCTTCGAGCAGCGTTCGCCTCAGATTTTCTATAGGTTTATGATAGTTTGCCGGTTGGGGTTTATGATAGTTTGCCGGTTGCGTTGGTGGTCCAAAGCGTCGAAATTTTCCACCACCTTTGAACTCATTCATTTTGCGTGTTTTCGACAGATGATCAGCGTGTTTCTCCCACTCGGTGGTGCCCGGTCGTTTCTCCGCCGCCAATAATGCAATCATACTGTGAAGAGAGCGTATGGGAGGCAAAGAAGGAAGAAAAAAAGAAGAAGCAGAAAATAATCAACCATTTTAGTTTGCAGTCCTTCGTAAGTGTGCAAGTGTGAGTATCTCAAAATTACTACGTACTTTTTACAGGGTTTGTTGCGGTTTTACAAAAACGTTGCTCGTTTACGGTTCGTAAGCCGTTATTTGACGTATACGAGTGCATACGTAATAGATAGATCGGAAAAGAAATCCATCGAAATGTTTATGTAATCGTAAATAAAAAGGCAAATATTTACATTTAGAGTTGAAATAGTATCGAAAAATAACACTTTATTGATATGTACTCGAGTAAGTAGTATATATGTATAGTAGAGAGGTAAGTATGTAAAGGCATTGTCAACATTGAACTACAATTAAATTACGTATAAATGGCTTTTCTAACTTAATTTAAATTCTGCACTTCAAAGTAATTATTTATATTTATTTATTTATGTGTTTAACACTAAGAAAAGTTGGTGCTTGAATGTTAACAGTATTTTATTATTTATTTACAATTTACAAATTCTACAAAACTGACTACAAACATAAGAGAATGTAATTAATTAAAATGAAATTAAATCGAAAATTTATGAGGTAAAGAGGTACAGAGCTTTCAAGGTCCTCAAGTCAACAAATCTTTAACGAGTTATTGAGTGAAATTATTTATTCTTCTATTTGCAAAATTATCAAAGCTTAAGTTGCGGTTAAATCACTAACAAAGCAATATACATCAAAACATAACTCGCAGGGAAAATACGGTACATTTTTATGTAAGGAACCTCCTTGGAAACCTCGCTGGTAAAAGCTGGGCAGTATAGGAGAAAGTGCCTTCCGTCTCGTCTTCCTCTACAAAGCTTGGGCAAAAAGCGTCCGAAAAATTTTTTGACCGCACGGCGTGTAAACTCCAATTAGACATTGTGCACACATGAGACCCACAATTTCGGCGAGATGACTTTGCTAAAAACAAGTAGTTCAAAGGACTTGTTACGTTTCGCTCTGAACGAGAAGGATTTCGCAGCCACACAAACTCTGGCTATTGACCAGCGCTTGAATGCGGGGTCCATATGTCGAGCGCCAGAGGACAACAGCGCACCGACTCGCTTCTAATCGGAATAAATGTAAGGGTGGCTCTCTAGTATGGTAATCGGCCATGCGATTTCGTGTATGTATGTATTTCCGGGGATGCTGCTGTGATAGGGCACACAAAGGAACCTAATACGGAAGAAGCTTGAAGCTTGTATACTAAGAATACTTGTAGATTTAAGCACAGTCAGCGAGCTCAGAGCCATTATAGTCGCTCAACTATCAGACTTAATATACATATCGCTGTAGGAAGCTGCATATCAGAGCTGTATAGCTTAATAACATAACATAACAAAATCAGGAAAGAATATTTCTCAAAAAATTTGACTAATTATTAAATGTGAAAGGCTTATACCTCTTAAGTCAGATATACAGGTTAGCTCTCAACATATGCTCATTTCTAAATAAATATAACTATAAACAACTACATACACATTTGCAAAGTACATTTAACAAAACAAAAACATTAACACAAAAGAGCATTTACTGCCAACAAAAACACTTTAATCAACTCAAAATGTCAACCAACTCATTAACAACAAACAAACAATAAAGAACAAACGGCTGAACTTCAACACAAAACGCTTATAAAGTTACAAATGAAATGGACGCCTACTCACTCCACGGCCGGTTCAGTGGCCGCAGTTATTCCAGTTGCTAGCTCCGTCGTATCTTTGGCCTCAGCAACAACATTGGTGGCGGCCGCCGCTAACGCAGTTGTTGTCTGTGTCGTCTGCTTTACTTCCGCTGTTAACTTTTCCAGCTCGGCGATTGTCGGTTTTGGTGTTGGCGGCATATCCTCATGCGAATTGGCCAATGCACGTTCTATTTCTGGTTCGGGTGTCGACGTCTTCAAACTGTCCAAATCGGGCGGCGGTGTGGGTGCGCGTGCAGCCATCTCCAAAGCTGTCGTATCCAAATGATTGACCGCTGACTCATTGGCGTGTTCCAGAGCCTTGGTGGCGTTACCCAAATGCAGTCGTTCCAAGAGTTGGTTTTTCGCTGTATCCAATTCGCCTGACTTCTCGGTGAAGACATTGCCCAGATCGTGCGCGATACCTGTGACTGCGGTGCCAACCGTCTCCTTGGCGTTCTCCAGTGTTTTGCCAACGGTTTCGGTTACCTCTGTGGTTGTGGATAAAAGAGAAAAGTTTTCAGTTTTCAATTTAAATTTCAATTATGCACACACATATGTTTGCTTGTGTGCAATGTAACGGCTTCATGGAATGAGTGCAAGTATGCTTCTAACCATTATTATTATTGCGAATTTCCCATTTACTCATTTCTTTATGCTTGTGTTTTGTTTTACTTTTTGCAATGAAATTTAACGCACGCACATGCTGAGTAATCAATTATACGAGTGGCTTAATCAACGATTATACACCCCTGCCAGCGTCGTTGCACCAGCAGACTCGCGTGCAGACAAGTGCCACCTGAAGATCCCTCCGCCTTGGCCAAGCAGCTATATGCCATCGCAATTGTTCCATCATAATATTGGCGTTTTCAGCGGCATAAATATTTGACCATTTACGTGTAGTTTACCGACTGCCAGTCACGCGAGCGCGTCCACACATCCCTTATTTGCTTGCGCATATTCAATGACTGCTGCCTGTAGCCCATGAATATTGGAATTTTTCACTATTTTCTCTTTTCAACGGTGAAAATTCAACGAACAAAATGAAATAAGTGTCGAACTGTAATTGTTAACGGTATTAAGGTTTTAAAACAGATTATCTACAGCTTCGAAAAACAGCACCGTCTATCTTTCTTAAATTATGTAGAATTAAATGTCCTTTCTAACTCTGTGATGCTAGACCTATTTCAAAATGTCGACCATTTCGAAGTAACTACTTCAGTACTCTATCGATGAACAAAAAGACTGCGGTAAGATCCGATAAGACAGTTATCAGAGTGTACGATTGAAAGACGCATCAGCACATCATATCACAACAAAATAGGCATGACTTTCTAACCGGGTTTCCATGAATTAAATTCACTACAAACGCAGAAACTGGAAGCGAAGACTCTCCCAATGATCAAATGAAGAAAGACTCGCTAACTTTATCCAAGTTCTTCAATGTTAGTCGAAATTCGTTGGCTGGCGCTAGTTCTAAGTTGGGGTAGTGTACAGCTCTAACAAAACACTCCACGGCGGCCTAAGGAGACATTGATTAGGTCCATATTAGCACTGTGGTACATAATTCTAGTTCTTCACACAAATAATAATAACTGCATAGTCGTTGACGCGGGTACTACTGATTGTCAATTTGAAGGCATGCTCATATTCTGTTAAAAAACCGTTTAATTTTGTACACCTACATTCTCTGTAGAGGTATAACAATAAAAAAAGAATTAATCTATTGGATTCTTGAGTTTTACAGAAAAATTTAAGTATGCTTTCATCACAGCGAAACCGAAACAGACCGATCGTGTTTGTAAGAACTTTCAAACCTCCAACTGCGGTTCTTATGTGAAGAACTTATTTTTTTCCATATATGACGTCGTTTAACCTGTTCGTATATTTTTCATAACGGAATGGATTTAAGTAATAATAAGTGGTCAGCTGAAATTTGTTCGCGAAGAGTTTTAGGATATTTTCGGTGACTTTTCCAAAATGACTTTTTCAAAATATTATTACACACTCCTTTGTTTAACATTATTTTTTAATTCCTCGTCACATTAAATAATGGGAACCGCATAACGAATTATTACTGTTTTTTATTTTCAACATTTTCTTGCACTCATTGCCTAAAGTTTCACTTTAAAGGACAAGTTTACCTTCCACTGCATGCTCAGCTCCCTTGGCTGCATCGGAAGCAGCATGTGTCGCTGCTTTCAACATATCACTCCCGGCTGTGGCAATCATCGGGGTACTGCTGGCGCAACCCATTTTTACTTAAGTTTCTTACAGTAAAACTAAGGAAACTCTTAGAATTAAAACTTAATTTTATTTTGCTTTATTGAAATCACAGTTCGTTTATTTTATTTTTATTTATTAATTATTATTTTTTTTTTAAGTCGATTGTCTAAATTTCCACTAGGAGAAGCAACACATTTGTAGTTTGGCTTTGACTTAATAAAAATTCAAATGCGCCTTGGACGACAATGAAATAGTTCACGTCTGCTCCTTCAGGTGGTCACGAAATCGACTAAATCGCGCGTTTCCAGCACACAAATAATTAGTTGGTCAATTCAGTTGGCTAACCACAACCGCCACTTCGGCTGCCAGCAGAAGAGCGAAAACGGAGTTGGGTGAAGAATAGGTATTTAAATTTCATATGGCGCAAGAGATTAGGCGTACGTACGCCTTGTTGAATAGTTGGTCGCACAGTCACCCACTTGTCCAGGTGCTTGGTTTGTAGCTTTGTGAATTGGCTTGGCGTAGTTTAATTGGCATTTGGTTTGCTACGGTGTGGCGCATCTAAACACAAACACGCATTTTTCCAAGTTCGAGGAAAATATGTACTCGTATTATTATACTAAATTTATAAGTACCGAGTGCACGTACATTGTGAGAAACTTCACCCCTTGATGAGGTCATAAACGTGTTATGTGAGAACTTATGTACTCGCCTGTAACAATTGAATACTTACCAAGTGGGATTAGGTGAGTATTGCCATAATTCAAGGCAGGATTTACATTAACGACCTTATGGAACGTGAAGTGTTGAGAACACATCTGAACTTATTGATCGCTCCGATTAGCCAGAGATGAGATAATATTATAAAAAGTTGAATTTTTTATACTCCAGGTTAGTTCCTTCCTTACCTGTTTGGATTATCTCTCCGACATTATACGGTAAATAGTAACAACTATTAAATTTAAGTAGCAACTTTTTGTTAAGATATACCAGATGTACTGGTATGAACAAGCCTTAATTCTTTTCTGTTTGATTAGCATGACATCTGTCAAACATATTCAATAACTTACAGTCACTGGAAAATTCGACATTATCTTCAGAGAACCTGTCATTTTTGTTGGTAGCGTTCTTCGGTAAACATCGCTAATTCAATTTTACCTCTTCGGCCACCGCACTAGCAATAATAACGAAACTTCAAAGGATTTTGCTTAATTTAAACTTTTCCTGTTGGATTTTGGAAGTCTATCTTACCGAGGGTCTTATTTAATAAAGTACATAAATAATGAAGATCTCGAACTTTATGATGACATTAAACAAATGCATTATTGCATTTTATCACTCTTCGTCAATGGAGGTAAAGTCTGAAGTTCCGTTATTTGATAAATGTTTGATATAATGCGACCGTAATCATATCCACAATAACTACCTACTTTTATTTTACGTTAATCGTATACAAACATATATATATGTATACAAGTACACACAACAATATGAGAGTAGAAGAGACCAGTCAATGACAAAGTCTCCTCAAAATACCATTTCTATAATGCAATTTCCCAACACGTGTCTTTTCTGATATTTCCATTTTACCGTTATTGTCGTATTCTGTTCGGTCATTTTGTTTACCTTCGTGTGCGATTCCACATCGATTACGAGTAACTCCAACGGTGTATGGTGAAGTTCGGCAAGAGGTTGAGGTTTTATTTGCGTTAAGAAGCACACAGACCGCTTGTGGCGTCTAACAACATGTTGAATATTTAGCTGTTGCACGCTGGAATGCGAGCGAAATTTCACCGCCGCCAAATGTCGGCTCACAGCAAAAGCGCAACTAAAAATGGATTTTATGGCGTGTCTCGGAATTTTGCTACACATTTTTCACGTGTTTGTGAATTTAGCTAGGCATAATAATCCATCAAACGAATGTGTTGAAAATCATCAAAATTTAGAAATGAGTTCATATTTTTAGCAGGGAAAAGTTGTTTCACTTTTATTAAAACCCGAAAAATTTATTCTTCAGACTAATAATATTTTATTCGCTTTCATCACGCAAAGGTTGAGATTAATGTTCTTGTTCATTTTAAGTAGCTATTCTGACGGCAATAACTCTATCGGTGGGGTGATTTAAGAGCTCCGAAAATTATAAGTGTACATACTTTTGTATTTACCGTTATTTAGTAAGAATTCTTATCAACCCTCTCATATTTACTGTTGGTTTTCGTACACTTTATTCGTATATATATAAACTAAATTAATAAACAAAGGAGGCCTCACTCAAAGAATATGAAATTTTGCAGTTTATTACAAATGCTGTTGATATTTCCGACTCTAACACCATAAATATGAAGCCCGACATTCTCAAATTTTCAAATAACAGGAGATATTTTTGGTTCCAAAAGGTGTAGTGCTCTGAAAGATATCACTTTTCAAGTATTTACAAGAATGTAAATCCTCCTAGAGCTGTGAACAAATTCCGGACAACTAAAGCTCTCAGTTCGGAACAGGAGAGCATTCATTTGATTAATTGGTCCGCGGAATTTTGATTATCTAGTGTGTCCCATCTCATCTCACTTCTTGCTACCAAATGCCACTGCTTTTCGTAGGCTAACGTACTAAGGTACTAGGTTAAAACTACCGGTGAACCAACTGAAGAGCTTTATTCGAGCTTTATCACTAGCTTAGGCACTTTCAGCCGGCTTTATAAGGACATTACTATTTATGCAAAATTCCTTTAGTACTAAAAAACTCAAACACGAAACAGCCGCTACAGTTTGGTGCGCTCTTTCAGTATGTGACTGTGAAACCGACTACCAAGGTCATGTATAGAGCTACCCTTACAGTTCAAAAGGTACGTCGAGGAAATGCGGACTTTTTCCTTTCATCTACGATGAGTTCAGCTCATATTTATGTGCGAAAGTTGACGAGGTTAGGAGCTCGTTATTTATTGAAAAAATGGCAAACTCATTTAATAGGAAAATAATTCACTACCAAATTTGCAAAAAGATCGAAGCAAAAATGAAACCACATAAATGAGAGGAGACCCTTAATTGAAAACCTTCAATGTCAATCTTAAGTTTACACACACACACACGCACAACTCGCCCATACAGACAAATTATGTGCGCTGCAGTAGGAAAATTGGCACTATTAAGAAGTCCCATAAGCAAATGAGCGTCTCCATAGCTTATCTATGGAAATTTCTGCAAGTCACAACACTGCTGCACTGCCCCTTGTCACCGGTCCTACAAAAGAATAATGTTTGGCTCTCGCCACGCAAGGGTCACGCTTGATTTTTTTCCTTCGTCGTCGAGTACAATTTGCGAATAACAGCAAAACGCCCACCAAGTGCAAGCAAACACATCGTTACATTTATGCCAATCACTCGCTTCAACCTCTACAATTTTTTCGGGGGCGGCCCAACACACCTACGCCCCTTCTAATGAGCCGAAAAACAACGGTGAAATAATAACTATGGCAGTCTTTTTCAGCGGCAAGTTGAATGGCCGTTTTCAAGGTAGAACAAGAACAAAACACTACAACAGCAACAAAGAAAATAAAAATAGCAACAACAGCAAAATTATTTATGAACCTGTGCTCCGCTTGTGCGGCAATGACGTTGGCAATGGTAAATGCCCCTTAACAGTGCTTAGGATATACATATGTATGTAGCTGTACGTAGTCCACAACAACTGCAACAACTACTTACATTAAGCATGCCAATTTAATTGCGGACAACAGGGGTATTTATGATATGAAACTTTGATTCACGCAGAGAAAAACTGAGCAAAGTGGAAACTCACCTCTTAGCTTATCCCACACACTTATATGTATGTATGTGTAGATCTAATTGTGGCTGTGTGAGTTTGCCGGTTAAATTGCCGGTGTCTATTTCTGTCACTTGGGTGTAAGCGATTCAAGGCTCCCCGCTGTCGATTTAGTGAAAGCTTTTGTTCAAAACAATTTACTTTGCATTTGTTGTTGTGGATATACCTATAATGTTTAATTTAAGAGCTTGTGTTTTGATTGCGCGTCAGTTTGTTACTAATAAACTTAGAGGAAGTAAAAGCAAAATAATGAGTAACAAATTGTTTGGTTGTATACATTTTAATGTGAGAAAAGCAAATGTTAATGAAAAAGGATGAGAAGCTGTCACGGCGAAGAACCCATACTTTCAATATATTTAATTATGCAAAAATATATGCATGTCGGAAGTCCTACTGCGTTATCCAAAATCCAAATCATTCAGAGATTTTTCCAGTTTTCAACTCTGCCTCATGCAAGCACGTACCCCAAGAGTACGTACGATACATAAATATTCTTATTTTCTAAAATTCACACGGTTTTGATCCAGCAAAACAAAGGTGCATTAAATTTAAGTACATTCAACAAAGGATCTTAAAATAGCCCACAACCGTTGATGACTTATGTTACGGTAGTTTGTTTCAAATACAAAACCAGCTAAGCTATTATGACCGACCTTGAAGGTCAGTAGGGGAACATGAAAAGCCGAGAAACACTTGAGACTGTTGTAACAACGAAAGAACGGTACATATGTGACAGCTAATAGTAGCCAGTAAAAACCTTTTTGGGGAGATATACACACATTCAAATATATATGTGTACACATGTTTCTTTTGTGTCGCAAAACGCAGCAAGTGCCAAGCAAGGGCTAACGCAGCGTTGGAGAGCAATCAACACGCAGAGGTGAGTGGGATGAGTATGTACTCGGATTTTCCGGCCAACAGTTAGTTGAATATAAGTTATTGTTGCGTTAACGTTGCTCAAGTAAATAAGCTTTTTCGATGAAAGTGTTTACATTTATTGCTGGACTTCTTTCCTGCTTCAAGAATTTCAAGATTGTCCACATATGTATTATTTATTTCACACTTAAAGTAATATTTCTTAACTGACATGTGTTATGTCCAGCGTAGCCAGAAAGTACAGTATTTGACAAAATTAAACGAACAATTTTGAAAAAAAAAACAAGAAATAATGTTAACTCCGATTGCACTGAAGCTATAACATACATACAAAATATTTCTTACAATAACTTGACGTTGATCGGTTATTCCATTTACTTTCGCTACTTTTTATGGAATATACTTAGATAGAGATTATCTTTCCACCGTCAGCTTAATTAATAAAATAGATATAAGTTGAGGTTTGCACTGCGACCTAAGGTCGATTGTACCCTCTGTTATTTCAAACGGACTTCTAATGAATTGTTGGATTCTGTTGGGTTGTTTTGCGGCGATGTGATTATTATTCGGTTATATAAATCCATGGAGATTGTTGCTGCGCCTGCAAATTGCTCTGCAAAACTGCATCCATGTCGCAAAACAGGCAGTTTGCACAAGAGGCTATGCGCGTGTTGAACAGGTGCTTCTTGAGCCTGCAATGCCTAGCGTAAATTGACACTAGAAGCCGGCTGATACTTGTATATTCCTGTCAATACCTTTCCCGTTCTACTCTCTCCTTCTTGTGGAATAGCTCCTTGGGTGCAGGGACCCTCAATTAATTAAATGTATTTACCATAATATTTGTACAATCGGCGAAAATCTTTAAAATTCCTTCCATTTCTTTAGGACTCAGGAGTAGGAGTCAATTTTTCTCAACTTCAAAAGATCTTTCCAGAGCATGATAAAGCGATTCCTTATTGTGTATTTTTTCATAACTTTTACAAATCCCACTTTTCCAAGATCGCTATGGCAATATTTAAAAAATTACAACACAATATCAAAAATCAATTAGCATGAATCATCCAAGCACATCTGGTTATACATACTAGCTTATTTACTTTCATTAGTTAATGCCATTTACACTTCTACCCCCAACTTTCCACGTGGCCATTGTGATTGATTTTTTATGACACAAAACGGCATTTAATTTATTTGCACTCAAGGATATTGAACTCGAGTTTGACCATGTATTTATATGTACTCCTCCTACGAAGCCAATCGATTACGGAAATACAACAAACGTGTATTCGAATAGTATTAACCTTTGACCCACTAAAATTAAATAAACATACAAACAATTATACATATTTAAAGATTCTACACTTCATGAAGAAATCTAGATTCAATGAATGATGATGAAGCAAAATTAAAGTATGAGAAGTATTTGCCATTTATATCACCAGCTCTTGGAAAAAAATCATGGTAGTAACGAAACAGTTTCGCAAGTAAATAAACTGCTAATACATCATAACATCTCACAATGATATGAAATGATTAATAATTGCTGAAATAATCGATAACTCAATCGACTGTTTTTTAATTAAAGATCGTGCCCTCACTATACATTAAATGCAACACTGCCATTTTCAGTTTTTATCCTTCCCTTTCATGTCCTTCGTAAAATGTAAACAACAGTTCTATCAGCTGTGCAAATGCGAAATCAGTACAAAGGAGTATACAATTATTGCAAATTTTCGGCCGTAGGAGCGGGAGACGGTGAATCACTTTGTCGTAGACCCAAAAATCGAAAAGATCTGCAAGAGCAAGTGCGTGATTATTTATTTATTAAATAAAAAATTTTTTAAAAGAATCGTGGAAAAATGGGAAAATAGAGTAGAAGCGTGGAAGTAAATAATATATTGCTCGCATATCTCCGAATTTGCTTGGTATAAAAGTATATTTTTAGATAAATTAATATATTTAAAAAAAGGTAAGGAAAGATAATGTTATGTTTCCTCTGAACGTTGTTACCACTACCATAGTTAGTGCTCCAGTGCAAAATTTTTGTGATTAAAATATTCGCGATGTCTATAACAACGTTGCATCGATTTTGTACCAAACTGAGGACACGCGTTGCGCATTCTATTCGTTAAATAATCGCCTTGTTTGATTATGTGCACGAAATTGCAAAAAATCTTTCTAGTTGAAACCAGATCAGTTGAACTTTGTGCACATATTTCTTAATACAAATTGTTATTTAGCGTCAACATGCCCAGCTCCTTGCTGTTCGCCACCAATAGCGAAGGTCGTGTCTACACGTTGTCAACAAATTCAGCTGCGTGGCGTGAATTTCCCTACCTGGGCTTGGAGTTCAAGAAGATCGCTGCAGTGCCGCATTTTGTTTGGGCTATTGGCGGTGATCGACAGGTGTATGTATATGTGTATGGTTTAGATGTGCCCATACGCGTCAAAGAGGAGTCCTACGAGAATGAGCGCTGGCTTCCTATTGAAGGATTTTCGAAAAAGCTATTACCTACCGATCGCTATAAGTTTTCTTCAGTTGATGGTGGTGTAGAACGTAACATTGACAAGATAAGATTGCCTTCAATGGCCTGGCAATGGGATGGGGAATGGCATTTAGACCTGGACATGGATGGTCAGCAGTTGAACGAGGATGGTTGGATGTATGCGTTAGATTTTCCTGCTACATACTCAGTGAAGAATTCATGGAACTCATATGTGCGGCGGAGGAAGTGGGTGAGTTGATAAAAGGAATGGTGAATAATTTTGTTACTAAAAATATTCGTTTGTTAGGTACGTTTCCGACGTTATAGTGCCCTGAATAGTTGGTGTGCGGTAGCGCCATTGCATAAAGACCCTACACAAGAACCTTTCATCGATGTATCCGTAGGCGGAACAAATGTGCCAAACGCCGCATCGGGCACAATGATCGTGTGGGCTATTACAGCGCATGGAAGGGTGTGTTTAATTTACCCGTTGTGATTTTAAAAACTTCTGAATATAATTTTTTTTATGCTTTATGTTCAATCAGGCAATGTTTCGCACGGGTGTCAACACATCTTCTCCGGAGGGTCTCCGTTGGAATGCTATTAACACACCTCCTGGTTGTGAACTGGCACAAATAAGTGTGGGGCCGACCGGTCTCATGTGGGCTGTGCTCTATAATGGGCGTGCCATTGTTCGTACGGGAGTTACGCGCGATAATCTTTCTGGCGAAGCTTGGTTGGACGTTAAACCACCAGTTAGCAGTAACGATGCGACAGGTAATCTCAAAATCACTCAGGTGTCGGTGGGTACCGATTCTGTCTGGTGTGTAACTAACGACAGCCATGTATGGTTCCGACGTGGCGTCAAAGGCGAGGCAGCTGGCATAAGCGAAGACGCCGCTATCGGCAGCGGCTGGGTGGAGTTGATTGTAAATATATCTTCAATCTCGGTGGCGCCGAATGATCAAGTTTTCGCCGTCGGTTCAGCGGACCGTGCGCTGTACTTTCGCTCAGGTGTGTCCGCTTCCGACCCGACCGGCAAGCAATGGCGCCAAATACAGTGTTCCATGCAGATAAGTCGCACATCTAGCTCAATGTCGATTGTGTCGCGGCGTAGTGGCAGCGGTTCGACGCCTGGTTCAAAACATCAGAGTTTCTCAAATCTTTATAGCAAGGACAAGGAGAAGGGCGTGGTGGAGACATGTGCACCAATTGAAAATATGGCGGCCAGTCCGGCCTCCACGAATAGCAGCACAACAGGTGCGGCAGCTGCGCAGGCGCGACTCAAAAGTGATATTTGGAAATATGCAAGCGATTCACCACCCAATATCGGTAGCTTGAATTTGAATGAGCGTCACAAGAAGCGTACTTCAGCGATGCGTGAACATGCCACTCACGCATGCAGCGCACCCGCAACAGAGGTGGTGACTGAAATATCAGGCAAACACTTTGAAACGCAGCTCAAGAATCCACGTGCCTGGTCGCCTGTGCGTAGCGTTGGCTCAATTGTCGGCACTGAGGCGCACCCTGAAAGCGATTCGGCTGTGTTCGAGTCAGATTCAACACATCATGGATCAGATGCATTTCTAGGCGAGGATGAAGATCATGCAGGCTCACAGTTTTGGACCGAATGTGAGGTGATGTGGAGTTGTGTGGCAGCCGGTGCCGTGTGTGTCGATCCAACAAATGCGCCAAACTGGTTCAATGAACAAGCGTCCGCCAATGGAAAAGTGGACGTGGATGCCACATGGCGCAAGGATATTATTGTGAAATTGCAAAAACAAAAAGAGTTGCTGAAAAAGTTGAAAAATCCAGAAAAATATGAGAAAGCTGTAGAATTAACTTCTTGGATTAAATCGGCTGAAGCACGTTATCAACGTCCCGGTGGAGAATTCGAAGACTGTTTAATCGAATTGGAATGGGTGAGTGGTGCAACCGGCGTTGGTGCTAGTGCAGATACAGGCAATAACAGCACAGATTCCGATTCGGGTACCTTTACCGTGCTTAATCCAGACGGAGTCACTACAAAAATTCAATTTTCGCTCTCCAACATCACGTGCGTGCAATGCTGCAGTGAGCCAAGTGCGCCACGTATTGCTTTGCATGCACCACGCCTACCAGCCAACTGTTCACCAATCAAATTGCAATTCTCCAGTGACGCCGAAATGGAAGATTGGCTTTCTCACCTCAGTTCGGTTTGCTGCCAGATCAATGAGGTGCTGGGCAAACCTGCGAATAACGCCATTTGGATCACCAACGAACTTGGCGAAGTTTTTGTTTTCGATCCACTCAATATGAAAGCGAACCAGCTGAACAAGGACCGCAATTGTTATGTGCAGAAATTCGATGTAAACACAATGGAAACGCCTTACTACAACACACTCTCCAATGGGTCGGTACACTTCCAATTTATGTTGCAAATAATTATTATTTTTTGTTTCAGTATGCCTTTTGGCACCGAACTGGAGATATCTGGTTGTGTTTACGATGATGCCGATCAAATACGTTTCGATTTGCAGTGTCATCCAAACATAAAGACGCGTCCTAAAGTGGAGAAATTTCGTGTGATTGCAATGCACATAAATCCAAGGTAAGTCGCATTCATAATATCATGGAGAAGTGCACAGTTGCAATTTTAAAATTATTTCCAATGCTTTTAGATTCAATGAACGCACAATAGTGCTCAACAGTATGAATGACTCCGAATGGCTGGATGAAATACGCAATGACAACATGGTTTTCGCGCCCGGTGCCACATTCACGCTACGCATCAAGTAAGCTCATACCGTTATAAGCGTTTCCTTGCCTTTCTCTACATATTAGCTTTTTGTGTGCAGAGTTTTGCAGAAACATTACCAATTGTTTGTGAACAACACACACTTCGCAGACTACAAATACCGCACAGATCCGGCTGCCGTCACCTGCCTGTACGTTAGCGGACGTGTAAAGCTCTTTAACATCGTCTATTATTGCCCCACGCTCATAATCTCTATGCAGGAGATGTATTGGCGGCAAATAGGAGGTCACATAAAGCGTGTATTCACATGTTCTGCCGGCGTTGTGTGGGGAATTTCGTGCGACAACACTGCCTGGGTGTATAACGGCGGTTGGGGCGGTCAATTTCTGAAAGGGCTTGAGGGTGGCACTGGAAAAATTAACACTATGGTCGATACGCATACCTACTATGTGTACGAGAATCAGCGCTGGAACCCCATTAGCGGCTTCACTACGAAGAGTCTACCCACCGATAGGCACTTGTGGAGCGATGCTAGCGGTCGCCAAAGGCGCAGCAAAGACCACACTAAACTCTTATCCACACACTGTGAATGGATAACGGATTGGATGGCGGACTTTAATATACACGGAGGTGCTGATAAAGAAGGTTGGCAATATGCGATTGACTTTCCAGCCACATACCATGCTCAGAAGAAAATCACCGATTGTGTACGTCGACGCCGTTGGTTGAAGAAGTGTCGTCTAACCAGTAGCGGCCCATGGCAAGAGTTAAGTCATTCGAAGATTTTAGATGCCGCTTTGCAAGTGTTCGACAACGATGTGGATAGTGCCAATAGTTTAAGTGATTGGGAGGATTTGCCGGTGTGCGCTTGGGCAGTAGCATCCAATGGTGATGTACTCATACGGCATGGTGTGACGCAGCTAAATCCACGCGGTGAGAATTGGGAGCACATACCGAGCGAGCAACCGTTGATTGGCATTAGTGTGGGGCCCACTGGGCAAGTGTGGACTGTCGGACGGAATGGCATGATTTATTTCCGTTACGGCATTACAAGGCACAATCCATTGGGTATGTTTGCAAGTTGTACAATATATCATATAAAATACATGTTAAATTGGCAATATTCGATACAGGTGACGCATGGCAAATGGTGGAAGCGCCTTCGGGTGTAACATTTCGCACGGTGGCTGCGGGGCGTGTGGGCATTTGGGCACTTGACAACCATAACCGCTTGGCTGTTCGAAAAGAGATCACTAAAACGTTCCCGGAAGGGTCACATTGGCAGTTCTTGCCGAATATGCCGAATATTCCGCCGCATACGGATACCCATATCGGCTTTAAATCGGTTTCAGTGGGCGCCGAGGTCTGGGCGATTGCACTGAATGGCGTCGTTTGTCAGCGATGTGGCATTACAAAAGAGAATCCCGCCGGAGCTGGATGGAATCTGGGCATACCGGTTTGTATTGCTTTTATATTTTCTATGTGACCAGAGAATGCACTTCTAGAATTTATTGTTTCTTTCAGGGGCAATGGCAGCATATATCCGCAGAGAGCTTCTTTTAATCATTTTGAGTCATTCAATTAACGTATAACCATTCCCAAAGATTCAATGTTCCAAAACTTTTTGTTTTCTTTTTTCTTTACTTTGAAAATATTTATAAAAGGTTATATTGCCTGTAAGTCATACTAGTGCATTTTGTCCTAGCTTATATGTATGTATGTATCTTAATCATTCCAATGCAGCTTCATTCTAATCTAAGCTTATTAAAGTATGGTTTTTTATTAATATTTATGTATTTCCTTACATACAAATTATATGCTAATTATATAACATAAACAAAAAACCCCATTTTTATTGCTAAAGGGGAGGTAAGTTATGTGGGATGGTTCAAAAATAAAACTATGAACTATTGTAATGTATTGTATGTAAGTATATGCCTACCAACTGCTGGACAATAGTCAACAATATACAAAAAACGCAAAAGATATCACCCATTGGACCTCCCGTTTCGATTCTATTGATAAAATATTTGTCATTGTGTTCAACTTCATTGTTTTTGTAAAAAAAATAGAAAACATATAAAATTAAAAAATAAATATACAACCAAATTGTATAAAAGTTTCGTTTCCAAACTGGTTCGTTTCATGCATCGTTTCACATGCAATTAGTGGAAGGTTGGCAGCTCTTGCATATGTCAAAAGTGACTAACCCAATCTGGAGAATTATTACAATTTTCTCGTGTGGTTTTTGGTCTAAGGAAAAAATAAACAATAATTAAAATAAAAAATAATGGCAGATAATGATTTAGACGCCTTGCGTGCTGAGCGTATGGCTCAGTTACAGCAACAATACGTGAGTATTTCTTTGTCCTAAAGACTTAGGGTCATTGAAACAGGTGCCGGCAATAGACACAGGGATTACGGGGAACGTTAAAAGAAACACCAAAAATAGATTATAAAAATGAGCAAAAACTGAAAGAATAATAGTCCTCATGACTTCAGTTCTTACAACAGAAGGAACCCTGATTTTATACGGCCAAGGACTGCCGCAACAACAACAACAAACTCCTTTTGACTTGGATCTATCAAACTGGAATGACTCCGATTTTATAACGAAGATAACTTGACATCTTGGTATTATTAATGATTTTTTGTTTTATTATTAGGGTAGCAGTGGCGGTAACAATGCTGAAAAACAACAGGCTCAACAGGAGCAAATGCGCCAGCAGGAGGAAATGAAACACTCTATACTTTCACAAGTGTTAGACCAACAGGCACGCGCCCGACGTATGCATACTATTTTTTTCAACATTCTGAACTAAATTCATAAAATACATTTCATTTACAGTAAACACATTAAAAATCAGCAAACCGGATAAGGCACAAATGTTTGAAAATATGGTGATACGCATGGCGCAAATGGGCCAAGTGCGTGGTAAGCTTGATGATGCCCAATTTGTCAGCATACTGGAGAGCGTAAACGCACAAATGCCACAAAGTAAATCAACAGTTAAATATGACAGAAGACGTGCTGCCATAGATTCAGATGACGATGATGACTATGGCTGCTGATTGTACGCTCCCGACAAAGGCCGTTATGAAGAAATTCATAGGATGCGAAATAGTAGCAGATACTTTTTTTGTGAAATGCAGATCCTTCATACAGCAGTCGCTCATTTGCGACCATACAATGTTTACAAAATTTATTTAAGCTAATTAATGTAAAATTTAGGCGTTTGTTAAGGCGTAATATGCTTTGAAAGATGTCGTAAAGTCTTAGTTATTTTATGCTTTCATTAACATTTTAAAATTGCTGAAAAAGTTTCTCGTCCTAATGCTAACCTTTATTTACGTATAATGCTAGAAACATAGAAATAATAAAATTAAATTAAACTTTAATAATTCTTTTAATTACCACGAAATCTTTGTATTTTTATCGAAATCTCAATACATAACTACGCAAGTCTTTCGATATACATAAAATATATAAGTATGGCATATTACCGCTATGATCAACGCAGTATAAATGGCGATTTTCGCAAATGTTCCTAATTTTATTCTGTCAACTCTGGAATGCAATGGATTATTTCAAATATACACAACATAATTACAATATATTTATTTTAAATGACGTTGTTGGGCCTTCAACTAAATGTCCATAAATCAAAATAATACGACAGCCACAAATTATACTATAAACTGATATAATTAGACTAGAAATATTAATAAAGCCAGTAAACTTGTTTGGAACAACTACAAAATTAATGACACTGTATTCAGCACAAAATTTACTCGGTTTTCTCGTGATCATCCTCTTCTTCTGATGTCACAAAGCAATCACCACAGAAGGCGGAATATAAAATGAGCGATAAAAAGCCACATGGTAAGCCCAAGATGACAGTCGTAAGTACGGGATTGCCCTTCCACATATCACTTAACCCTTTCCTAACCTCGAAGAATGCACGCCGAAGACGCACAAAATAGGTGTCACCACCAAGTGGAGTAGCACTTTCGTTATGAATGGATTCGAGGAAGACATGAAGAGCTTGTGGTGTCATTTTAAGTGGTTCATCGTCTGGAATGTAATGCTCTTGAGTGGTAGAGTTAATCACAATCAAATGAGGTGTGGGCAACATATCGAGTACGATGGAATGCGCTATGCCAGGATCACCAATCTAATAACATATAAATGTGTTTTCATTACATATTGCATTGATATAAATCCATTATAAACTCACCCAGGCAAATTGAAATTTATCATGGTACCTATTTCGATGCTTACGTATAACGCCTTCTACCATATCACGGAATTCTAACTCATGTGTAGCAACTTGATTCAATTTGTCTTCTTCTACAACTGCCACAACTAAATATTTCTTCGTTTTCATTAATTGATTCATATTGAAACGGGTAATTTTCGGGAATGTTATAAATCTTTCGACATTCACCCAATGGTGTATAGTGTCGTTAATTTCGGATACATCCATTTCGTGAGCCACATGTGCAAATGGATATAAATGGTGCTGCTCTTCTTTGTAAACCACTACAGCAGGCAAGTGTTCAAATTCAAAATGCTGTGTTGCTATATCCGGGGTGGTTGCGTAGAAGAACCCGTGTTCTTGATAGTTTTCCGCCGCTGCATAATATGATTCCCACATCACACCTTCCTGTTGGCCAATAAAAATGAAGAATATTGTGTGTGAACCCTTAAGCATATCGATACTTTCGGCTCGAGTCACCAACTGTACTGGAGGACCGCTCATGCGCAGCGCATAATCAACCAACTCCTCTTTGACGCGATCACCATTATACACATACTTTGCGCTTCCTTTTATGAACATTATGGTTGGATAGGCACGAATTTGCATCTCGCGTGCAACATTTGGAAAGCGTGTGCAATCAACCTTTCCTACACGGATACTTAGTCCATGTAATTCCTGTGCCACCTGCCCGAAAATGGGTTCGGTACGTTTACAATAACCACACCAGGGCGCATAAAACATGACCAGCCATTGCCCTTGGTTGTATACTTCCAGAAAACGATCGCTCAATTCAAGCACACGGGCAGCTTCGGCATTAGCGGCATAAGTAAGGGGTGTTGCGAAAATGGCAAGCAGCACTTAAAAATTGTCCAAAAATTAAATATTATTCCATTCATTCAGTGCGAAACTTACTAAATAGCGGCTTCCATAGCGAAGTACTCTTATCAGCACGGTTTCTGTAAAACCAAAGCATTGTCGGAAGTTATTTATGGATTTGTTTATATTTATTACAGTAACACCAAATATTAGGAACCAATTTGAACAGAGTAGAAATACACTTATTGCGCCATATTTATAACTCTATATCAAGTGATTTATAAAATGCTAAGTTGATAGATTACTAATTTAATTAGTATTATCCATTAATCTAAAATCTATGTCTGAAAATCTGCTGAAGTATTATGGGATATACAAAATGAAAATTTATGCAGCTGTCAAATGAATTATGACATTTTCCTAGTGTTGAATATATGTGTAGTTATGCGGGTTTTTAATTTTCAAACGGAAGACTTTAGGTAAATATAATTTTGTTTTCATATTTTTTATATATTTTTACAATTTATTTTGGGCGTTACATATCTTTTGGCATAAAATTATTGATATACTAATTTATGTTAAACTTTGTAAAAGATTTAAGTATTAATTTTTTGTATATCTTATATAGTATTTTCATATAATGCACCCCTGGGCACAGGGATATGTCAACTGTCGTATTGTTTCTTCCCAATCGTTTCCAATGTGCGTGCACGTGTGACATTTTGTTTATTATCAATTCAACCGCATTTTTAATCAAGATTTAATTTTTAAACTGAAAAGAATTCGATTCAAATAAAAATGAATGGAGGAAATGATCAACCCGGACGCACAAAAACTCATAATGTGCGTTTTTATAATCTCACGCCGCGCTCTATACAAAGTATGGCGTATAACAAGATTTGGCACAAGTTAGCAATATCAAGGTGAATATAACCACATTTTGAAAAGGTGCATTTCGTTTTTAATAATTTCTTATTATTAGAAATGATGGATCTATTGAAATTTGGGATGTGCAACATGCCTCCTATTTAGAAAAAGTTATACCGAAATCGCCTGGAAACTCCGTAGAGGGTATGGTTTGGGCTGGCGAGCGTTTATTCTCAGTTGGTCTTACTGGCGAATTGGTTGAATGGGATTTACTATATCTAAAGCCCCGACGTAAACAGTTCGTAACTGGAAATGCTATATGGTGCGTTGATATAAACTCCACCGGAACGGAGTTAGTCGTCGGGACAGAGGAGGGTTACATCAATATATTTGACATAGACGGCGACCAAATGCAATACAAACAACTATTTGATAAGCAAGAAGGTCGTGTGTTGTGCTGTAAATTTGATAGTACGGGCGAATTTCTGGTAACTGGTTCATTGGGTGCAATACGAATTTGGGATGTGAAGAGCGGCCATGCATTGCATAAAATGTCAATTACGCGGGCGGATAAGAAAAAAGAGGCGATTGTGTGGTCATTACAAGTGTTAAGTGATTTCACTATTATTTCGGGGGATTCACGTGGGCAAGTCTCAATTTGGGATGGTAAATTAGCAGCACACTTGGAATCACATCAGGTGCTAAAGGCTGATGTACTCGCGGTTGCTGTAAATGAAGAGGAAAATTTGCTAATGTGCTCAGGAATTGAACCAATAATCAGAATATATGCCAAAACAAAAATTAAGCGTGAAGATGCGGAACATTATTGCTGGGTAAAATATCTGCAGAGAAGTGTACACGATAATGATGTGAAAGCACTCGTATGTGCAGGTGACCGCATATTCTCCGGTGGTATGGATGGTTATTTAGGAATATCATCTGCTTCAAAACGTAGCTCTACAATATCTAAGTATGGTCCATTCCTTAAGGTAAGAATCACAATTAAAATATATAATAGCATTTAAAACTTGAAAGTTAATTTTTAGAATCCATGCGTGGCCATATCAAAGAAAAATCGCATGCTACTACTTCGTTATACAAATTATTTTGAAGTGTGGCGACTTGGTTCTACGGACGGTAGACCACAGCTAGTAGGACCAACGGAAAATGAAAACGATCACAAATCAAAACAGAAAGCTAAAGAACCTGAGCGCAGGATGCTTGCTTTGGACACCGTACCTGAAAAACTATTGGAATTCAAAAGCAAAAATGATGAACCCATTATTTGTGCCACCATCTCCCCTGATGGTCAATGGTTGTGTTACTCCACACAAAAGAGTATCAGACTTTTCAGGTTTCTACCCGCAGTTTCGGGGAAAAATGACACACAACTTGCTCGCGTTAAAGGCCTACCAAAGCAATTCGTTACTGCCTCCCACATAATATTCAGCAGCGATTCGAAACATATTTTCCTCGTACAACCTACTGTCCATCAAATAAACATATTTTCAATAGTTAATAATGGCAGCACTGACCTAGACTTCGTCGAAAGCATTGAAACAAGTAAACACATTAAAGACGTCGTAAACATATTCGCAGTATCGGAATGTGGTACATACATAGTAGCGGCAGGTGCAGATCGCACAATTGCGGTATGGAGTATATTTCAGGGCAAACATTTCCAACACCGCCTCAACATGCCGCGTTACTCGGCCGTTACTACAGCTTTAGCAATTCATGCACACGAACCTAGGCTAGTGGCGGCCTTCTCCGATGGCAAAATAATTGAATATGATCTAGAAGAAATGTGCTTTACTTGTTCGGAGCGAGAATATTTTGTCGAGAATGCAGAAACACATTGCGTTTCAAATGTTTTATTAGATAGCCGCAATACCAACAATATTCTACTACATAATGATGCGTATTTATATGTGTTGGAGAAAGTTGCAGACACCAATGGCGAAACGGAACACGATAATGGTGCTTCCGAACCAACAGACAAGAAGGTTGGAAAGAAATTGAAACGTGCTGTGAGTGACAGTAAAGTTAGCGGTCTGCGTTTGAAGTTTAAGAAATCTTATGAGGTAAATGAACTTAAAACATTTCATGGATAATTCAATTAATGCCAATTTTATTTTGTTTACCAATTTATGCGCATAGCACCTAATATCACTAAGTTGGCTTAGTACGGACGAATTGGTCGCGGTCGGTGTCAATCCTGTCACATTAATTGAACAATTACCGGACGCTTTTAAACAAAATAAATTCGGCACCTCTTAGTGTGAAGTGTACATAAAAGTGAAATTTTTGATTTCTTATTGTAAGAAACTAATATTGTTTTAATGATAGTGTATTGTTAAGGCTACAAATTAAATATAAACATAGAAAATATATGTATGTATATATTTAAAATTATGGTTTTTTGGGGTACTAAAAATTCAAATCCGCTAGGAATATAATATAATTGTCATCAAGGTAAAACAAGCTCAGCTTTGTGCAACATGGATACTTTTGTTGTGTTTATGTTGTAATGAGTGCTGCCATTTTATAACTTCTCATGTTGGCATTGCCTGCAGAATTAGAATGTTGTTATATTATATATACACCGATACTTGTTTGTTTTTTCCCTTGCGACTTATTTCGACTATGAGCTCTTCACATCCAACTT